TTATCAATTGTAACGAGAATTTTCTTTGCAAAAGTGAAGAACAGTTGTTGCAGACTTCGATTTTTGAAAATCATGTTGGTTTTGGCTTATTATATTTTTAACATTTATAAATGAAACCAATCATGTAAACATTGCTATTTAAGAAACTTTTAGAAAAATTTAAAGTAGAATTGGTCTATAATTCTTCATTAATAATGGATTACCCTTTTTGAACAAAGGTTTGACAACTGCTACCGTCAAACCTGACGGAAATATTCCGTTTAAAGCCTTGGTTTCTTTGAACACTCCGTCGCGGTGAGCGGACAGTCCGTCGACCGCCGAGGACAGCAATTTTCGCCCGAGGTGGTTTGTTAAAAAATATAGAAAATGATACTTTCTCTAGGTCTGTACGTGCTGTTTATGTATTATGAATGTAAACGAAAGGTACTAAAATGGATGCAAATAAATTATTTGCGTTGTTATTATTGTTGGAAGAGGAAGAACAAGAGGAACTGGCAATTGCAACCGTCAAAGTTTCCAATAAGCCAGTGGATGAGTTGTTTTTGTGTCGCGATACAGAAAGTGCCTTTAATATCACTGTGCAGCGGAGGTTTTTTGGAAATGAAACCAAATTTAGGGAGTATTTTAGACTTTCTACAGATCTTTTTGAATTCGTGTTGAGTTTTATAAAGGACATAATTTTCAAGAAACCTAAAAATAAAGTCATGATGTCATCTGTATGTGTGAATTTGTCACTCATTGTTTTAAAATTAATAACAATATAGTCTCCGCACACGCCGACGATTCCGCTGATATCAAACTCAACAGATATCAACCGACTCTTCGCGACAAATCAGCGGCATGACACCGTCCTGCTCAGCTAAGCGGATTCAAGAAAACCATTCCCATTTAAATACTCTGGTTGAATAAAATCGTCAAAACGCGACGGTTGACGGACTGTCCGCTCACCGCGACGAAGTGTTCAAAGAAACCAAGGCTTAATAAAGATTAATTGGCAATATAAATATGTTAAAGGCGTCACAATATGAAAACCATTTATTTTCAACATTATGTTGCTTATTCCATCATCTCCACTAGAGTATTTGGTTTTCAGACCCAAAATTATTTCCAATACATCATTTTCTGTTGTTTCATTTAAATAGATTGAACTAGCTATAGAATAAATATGATTTATATTTGTATTTTTTGGACCTGTACCCACAAGGTTACAAGCAGCTGATACAAAGTATTGAAAATGTCAGAAGCTTCAGAAGGCGACATAATTAAGTCATTATTGACTTTAATGCCATTGAATATTTCATTTTTGTTGTATTTATTCCTTTTTCATTATTTATTATGTTCCAAATAGTCTTTGTTCAATTATTAAAATAAGAAATCTGATTGACATAGTAATTATTTTTTATTTGCAAGATAAGACTGGAATAAAAATATGTATATTCATTATAATCATTTTTGAAAATTTGATTCCGTGTGTAAAATTCGAAGAAAAGAATTAAAGTTTATTTTCTGACATCCATTTATGTTTTCAGTTTTTTTAACTTTTTTTACAAGAAAAGCTGAATTCAAACGTTTTGAGATTAATGATATGAATGTGTCATATTTTTCATTTACTCATATAATAGACAACAAAGTTTCATTATTTAGTAAAATATAAAACTGTTCATAACTTTGTGAACTAAAAATACGTTTGTATGTATTGGGGCTTTTAGATATTTCTTTATCCTCAAATATATTAATAATTTGACCAAATTGACCATATTACTGTTCAATACCTAGACATTGGAAATATGATACTAGAAGTAATAAGGCTAAAAAAGTATATAATAAAAAGAAAATATATTGGCATTCAACTGATTCGTGTTTAATATGTTTTAGTGAAGTTTTTTTAACATGCTAGTGATTTGTAAGAATGTAAATTGTGACAGCAGAGACGATAGAGACTCTTTGCCATATCAATCAATTTCTACATGTAACCCATTTAAACGATTTATCAGCTCAAACTAAACAATGTTGGTTATAGTCCTTCATCTGACTGCAAAAAATAGCACTTCGTGTTTGTTTCTTGCTATTTGTAGTTAGTACAGAGGAGGCGAACAATATATACTATGTCCGGTGGTGGGAGCGGTCATGTGACCTGTGAAATTTAAAGTAAAGATGCTTATCGATGGATTTTCGTTTTTTTTATATATAGCAATGCTCGTATGTGCTTATAGGCGTCATAACAATAAAAAATCATCCAATCCAGTCCTTTAAAAGCATTTTCTGTCGGCCGGTTTTGTTACTTTCGGTGTAGAGATTTTTAAGTTTTTAAACGAAATTCGAGATATAGCATAAACGCATTTTTTTGTGGATCTAAGATGATATTGCAGCAATTTTTTGTGTTGGCGAAATGGTTGATATGCAAACAAAATTAAAACCTTGCCTGGTTACACTGCACTGGTGTCGCTAGATTTAAAGAAAGCATTCAATGCAGTAAATCATTGCATTCTATTGAGAAAACTTAAATGGCAGGAATTAAAAACAACATTCTCCGTTGGTTCCAAAGTTATTTATCACATAGGGAACAGTATGTATCACTAAATGGTGTGGAGCGGAGTGTCACGAAAGAGTTAGTGGGGTGTTTTCCAAGGTTCAATATTAGGTACTACTCATTTAACCTTCTATTCACCCAGGGTTTATAGCGAATGGGATAGAACTACTCAATAAAAATGCTTGTATAGCAGAGGTAGAAGTTGGAAAGGCTTTTGCCAGTTCTCCCACTTTATACACATAAATTGAAAGGTTTGCGGCGGATCTAACCGAAGTGGACGCGATACATTGGCGTACAAAATTATTTCATAGATGTTAATAACAATTTCGAGTAAATAGTTTAATAAATTGTGAATAGCTGTTGAAATTTTGTAAAATTATTATTTGAATATTATAATACATGTTTAATAATTATTTATGAAACGACACTGGCAGGTAAACATTACTGCGAAAATCTCGAAGCCATCCGACGTGGTTTGACGTTTACCCCCTCTCTACCTACCAAAGGCCTTTCCAACTTCTAATTGTGCAATACTCTTAGTTGAGAGTCATACAAACATTTGGAGAGTAAAAACCACTTTTCGACTTTTGCTTCCAATTTACACCTATTTCAAGGTTATATTTTTTTCTTACCAATTCTTTTGCAGACACAAAACAATGCATGCAATATTTTAGATTCAGAAAAACAGAGTTTAAGCTATATCCTGAATTTAGTGACTGTAATTAGCCGTCACGTGACCAAAATATCTACACCGGAAGTAACAAAACCAGACGATAGAAAGTGCTTGCAAAGGGTTTTATTTTTATTGACGTCTAGAAGCATATATTTTATTGCCAACAGAAAAGGAAAAATCCATCGATAAGTAACTTTACTTTGAATTTCACAGGTCATATGACCGCTCCCACCACCGGAACCTAGTATATGTTTACCCTCCCTCCCCCATATCAATCTACAAATAGCAAGCAAAAATGTGCCACTTTTTTCAGTCAGATGAGGGACTACACCCTGATCATTTTCCTCCATAAACAGACAAAAATAAACAATCCTGCAATGCCCCGGCATTGTTTAATTAAAAACGCTACTATCAAAGGTTATTTATTTTTAGGAGTGTCTCAATATTTAATTCATCCCGAGACCCCTTGAATTGTGTTCTATAGGCAAAATTACTTCTACAAAAAAATGGGTCTTGTATTGCTTTCAATTCATCACCCTGTCTGTAATTTGACTGGACTACCAGGACAAAAATCTACAAATCTCTATTCCACATAAATATATACAGAGATTTTTTCAATTAAATTGCCTGTTTGTTTCTGGTATCCAACACAAACCAAGATTAACATTTTTGTGTTGGTTTTATCAAATCAATGAAAATATACACCATTGTTCCTTTTGTTTTGAATACACCTTTTCATTTTGATAAGGTTACTTATAAACATATATTTAATACATTAAATGGCTTTAAGCAGAATTACTTATTTAACAGTACAATATAGAAGAAACAATAAAAAAGTGCCTTACCATGATGGAATGTGTATTCCATAAAAATATTATTTGCTGGTACACTTTGTATACTAAAATATATGTATTGCCTTACTATTAATAAACAATAGAGAATCAACTGATATTTGTAATAACAAATGCAAATTTTTTAGTTTTTACAAGAACTTGTCTTACTTTGAGTGTGTGTTCTAAATATGATAGGTTTCATAAAAAGAAACTGTCAACATATCTATAACTGATTTCATAGAAATTAAATATATCTTTAATTTACTTTTTAAATAGCAGCATGGTATGGTCTCCCATACATGCCTGGTTAGACATGAATGAACATCAAATACATTTTCAAAATACCTACCTTTCCACATATTGATGCCTACCAATACTGATTTCTGCTTGTGGGTTCAAATCTCTTGAATAATGTAAAAATAATGCTGATTTCTTTTTTTCTGGATTTAGAGGTAGAACTGATTTCCCTGATATCCTTCAGGAAGTTCATTTTAGGATGCCACAAAGATTAACAAGGTTTCACCAACATTTTGGGGGAGTAATTCAGCGAACCAATGGTGGTAGCAAAGCCAGTGTTTACTGTGTGGTTTGTAATTATTATGTTAGCTTTCCAGGCTATGATACTTGTTTCTACAAGTCTTGGATGTTTTAAAAAACCTTTAAACTAGACTACTTTTAATAATTTAGTTTGTTTTTATGGTTTATAAACCTGAACTAATTATATTAATGTTCTTTTATGTATAATAAATAAATACATAAATAAATTAAAAAGTAAACAATACATACTTAAATATAAAGTTCAAAAAATGTAAACAAAAAAATATTCAATTACTCATGACAAACAATATTAATATAATTGCTAGATACCTATGTACCTATGTGTTTTTGAATAGGTACATACAAATAATGTAATTGCAAATTTCTTATCAAATCTTGTTAATTATGAGTATAATGTGGTACTTACCTCTACAAAACTGTTTGTTATAAGATGCTGATATTTGAGCCTAACTTTTGAATCTCTAACTAATCGCATAACACTAGCATCATCAACTAGAATGTCACAACCATGAGCTGCACATGCAATTGTTTGACCCACACCTTCCTCCATTATTTTTGTTGTTAAATATTCGCACCAACAATGGGTGCAAAATCTATGACCACACTCTAAACCTGTCATATGCTGCAAGAAAATTACCTTGTTTACAATTTTGAATTGCTTAAAAAAATCATATATGGAGATTTTATCTCAAATTAAAAATATACAATGAATCATTACTATTATGTTCATGGTTTAAATATTCCCATTAATTTTTTTTTAGCAATTAAAGTTCTTTAAAATAGTTATGAATATTATAGGTATTATTTTTATTAGAGCTAAGTGAACAAATAAAATTAGTAATTGTACTTACTGATGAGGGTAAAACCATGAAACAAATTTCACATTCTTCAGTTCCGTTTGTTGATTTTTTCAGAGGCTACAAACAAAGAGTTTACGCAAAATTATACTCTTCTACCTCAATAAGTGCTTACCTTAGCCCTAAAACTAATATTCAGTTCTTTAAATGGATTGATCACTCTAGCTTCTGAAAATAATTGATCCTGGTCACCATCGTAAAACCTTTCCATAAGTTTTTCCTTGTCCCATCGAAAATGATTCAAAAGGATACGAGTGGTAGTCGCGGGTATCTTAAATTAAAATACAATGAAAATGTTCATTGTTGTGTGGAGGTTATGAAGTCAAAAGGTTATACCTTCTTAGTAAATAAAATTGAACTTACCTCTACAACCGAGTTTACGTCTTTTATGGAATCTACCATGTGTTGTACAATTTCTTCTGTGCTCAGCACTTCATAAGGGTAGTCATCTGAATCTGTCTGCATTTCTCTATGGCCAGTGACTTCAACTTCCATCGCAAAATCAACATCGTCTCCACTTGATTCGTTACCTGAATCAACGTCATCGTAAGTTTCTTCTTCGGAGTCCATTTTATAAATATATCAATCGAATATAATCATAAACTTGATAATTTTCAATGTATTTGGATTTTATGAACAGAAAAACAACACTTCTAATCGAATGTATATTCATTACCAAACTGAGACCAAGGATAACGCAGCGGCGTCACATCTTCTACATACATATAGCGTTTAACAACATTCCTTTACTTTATTGCAATTTTAAGTACTTTTAACAGTAGTAATTTGCCATTACAAACGATGCATATTTCAAAAAGATAGTTAATATGAATTACGTATTCAATTTAACGATTTTTCTTCTTAAATTTATAACAAAAATTGTTATTTAAGCTTAATTTGTAGTGAAAAATACAATTTCGTCAAGAACGTGGCAACGGTGGATATTTACTGTAGAGGGATTGACAGTTGTTGAATTTACTGTCATAATTATCATTTTTGACGTATGAGGTACGTTTTATTGTTTAGTTTAACTAAGCTAATAAAATTTTCACAAATAAACTTTTACAAACAAATGATGAGTTGGTGGAACTCATTTAAGAAATAATTGATGATTATTACGTTAAATAGATAACGGATTTCCCTTACAATTAATATTATATTCTGTTTAATATTGATTTATGCGATTTAGTATAGGGTGTTCTTTTTTAACATACATTAATAAGTCTTTCATCTCTCTCGGTAAAAAAGTTATTTAAATAAATTAAATATTAATTTTTTTATATAGGTAATAATATTGTATGATTTGTTTTAGATGTTTTTTGCAAAAATGTCTTGATGGCTTGATGAAATCGTAACTTTTGTATAGGGTATTATACAAAAGGAGTTATATGCCTAAAAGCACCTATAATACCTATCTTTTTTTTGAGGTCTGTGAAATATTTTGAAAAATTAACATCTATTATGTATAACATGCCGAAAAAAAACACCTAGTTTTAATAAGAACAAATAGGTAGGTGGGTGGTACCTATAGATAATATTTTTTCTTTTATTTGTAAGCATTTTTTCACAATTTATTTTAAGGATAAGGGAACTAAATCGTCTTTTGGAAAAAACATATTATGATACCTATTAAAAGAAAAAAAAAATTATGTTTATATATTTATTTATGATAAAAGTAATAAAAGTCAAATTTTATTTTGTGAGATTTTGAAACAAGCAGGGCTGGTTGAAAAATCCTGGGAACACACTATTTTTTACAAATCCTGTTAAAATTGCATAAAAAATAAAAAAAATGTATAAGCTATAATTCGACGTTCTCAAAAGTTTAAATTTAGAACTCGATTTAGAATGTTAAATGACACTATATATTTTCTATAATTCACTTGTAACATACATACCTATAGATCGTCTTAAAATTAAAAGTGAATCACTTTTAACGTTTTTCTAATAAAACGGCATTTTTAACACTGAAACCAAACGTCAAAAAACCTACTTTTAATGTATTTGTAAAAAAATATTTTTCCCACTTATATCTTTTTTAATAATATGTGTTTTAAGACATAGGCGTAGAAAACATTTTTAAAAGGGGCTAACAAATACTTTCCATTCTATCAAACTTAATTATAGGAAATCCAAATGCATGTATACATACCTATTAATATGTAATTTAATTTTGTAAATATTTACCTTTTGTTAGAAAATATGTGTGGTAGATATATAGGTGTATCTTCAATAAAATTTTATCTAGTTGAATCACCCTGTATGTCATTTACACTCATATACCTATGCAGTTTATTTCGTTAGTTTTCATTCTATAATTATCCAAGGTTGGCAAATACCTACCTAACAACACAATCTATTAATAATATTAAACAAATATACATATATGAAAAATAAAAAAAAAATGTTACTTAGGTACCTTAAATTACCTATCTACTATCTACAATAGGTTTCTACCTGGTGTAATTGTTTAATAATCAATTAATTACATGTTCTAATTAGGTATAGAGAGAGGACAAGTTAAATAGGTAGACAGGGGAGAAAATTGGTGAAGATCTGATATATATATATACAGGGCGAGAAGAGCAAACTTTGTTGCAGAAGTGTAATTAGTCGAAGGCTGCCGAATTCAATCGTTTGTTTGTAGTACCTACTAAATGGTGAATACGTAGCGATAAAGATAAAGAAAAACCGCATCGAACCAGCCTAGCAACGACCTTGAATAATAAATATCTCTACCTCTCCCTCGCCCTCCACCGCCCGACCTCTGCGCTACGCTACGTCCGCCATAAAAACTCTTTCCCGCCAACGAATTGAACAGCTACAGCTAGCATCTCTAAACTAGTAGGTAGCTACTGCACACCACCCATTTGAGATAGAGTAGGTTTTCGAAGTTACGATTGTAACATTCATTGTAAATCTTTTGTAACTCCGTGTTATAAATCTATCTTAGGGGTTACTTAACCGGAAGTAAACGGCTCATTTAGAAAAATGAGGTTAGGGAATTGGAGTGGCAAGTTCATTGATATGCAAATCAGTTTGAGGGATGGCGCAAGCGTGGCAGCCATCTTGTTATAATATGATTAGTCATCTAAAACAACAATAGTATAGATTTTTCCTATGAGGCCCTTTCTTATATTACTATTCGACGGCCTTTTTTTGTAAATACTTATTTTATTCGATATAATTTGTTCTACTGGGAAAACTGTTAAAAAATAATAGGAAAATATAACCTTGAAGTGTGTTAATGCTCAACTTGGTTTGCGATTAGCTAACTGATTTCCTTATGGATACGTAACATAGAGACTATTTTTCACATGACTGGACAAAAAGTAGACCGTATTGAATGTTCCGAAATAGAGCGACGTTTCGTAAAAATAAATACCTACCTAGGTACGTACATGTTGCAGATCGTTACTTTAGGAAAAGAAAAAAGTGTGAGGTCTGATAGGAAAGCTATTTTTTTATAATATTTCACAGTGCTGATTTAGTTTAGCGAGAGAAAATTATATAAAAAACATATCCTTGAAATACAGTTAAGTTAGAAGACCTTGGAAAGACTGTACATAGCCTCTTTTCGGGCGTCATGACGTCACTCCTATAATGTCGTCACGTGAGACTAACCGCGTTTAAAGCCAGCTGATTGGTGTAGAACTGGTTTCGGCGGCCATCTTCTAAAAGGCAATAAACGAAAATCCTTAGAGTGATGTAAGAACCCCGCATAGAGGCTAGCGGGCAGACCTCGCGCCACCGACCATCTAACTGCTTACTGCTTTCAACTCCACGAATCTAACGAATATCGGGTACGTCGAGTTGTGTCGACGATTGTGTGTCAAGAACAGAACGCGCTGTCTTTCTAAATAAAGCTTGTAAAATCCAAGTTTGGTGTAAAATATGTAAATAAATTGAAAATAAAGCTAGTGTTAGTGTGAACCAAAGATATTTTTGGTTGTTTTTAACATTTTACAGGAACTAACAATAATATTTCTAAACACCGACCGTTTCATTCTGATGGCGCTATGGCCGCTAAAACAGGGGAAAAATAATCCGCCTTAACCTCATTCGTGGATTTGTAAACAACGTTTCAGAAAGCACATCAACTTTAAAAAATGCTACATATGTAAACGCCGACCACTTTCAAAAATAAATACCACATGAGGAGGAATCATGGAAAAAGTTAAAAAGGTTATGATGACAGTAAGACATTTTGACAGACAAATAGTTTTTATTTTCTAATGTTTATATTCCTGATTGTCCAAAATGAATGTTAAACAAGAGAGGCACGATGAAGCGGAGATCAGAGAACTCGCTGCAAAGTTTATGGAAGCGAATAAAGCTAAAATGGCTATGCCCCAAAGACCACCACAACAACCTGGTCAAAGCATGAACATTTTGAGTTTCCTTGGAAGTGATAAATCTAAACCCAAAAATAATGGTTCTCCTAGTGAAGCCGACTCAAAAAATATCGACGAAGAATCGGTTAAGGGTAGATTTGGTTGGACTTTGATGGGTAAGATTCACATCCCCTATATTACTCGATCTGGAGAGAGTTATTGTGCAGTGAGAATGGTTGAAATGAAAGTTTTAAACAAATTATTAAATTATCTTCATCAGGACCTTTATAATTGTACCAACATTCGAAGTTACTACATTACAGATGCTGAAGCAAGGCTGTTGAATGAAATTAACTTTAAACATTGTGACTACCAGTTTGGTCGTGAACAATTTACCTCTAAAGACCTCATAGTTAGACTGACTGATGCTAATGAATTCTATCAATTCCTAGGACACTGTTATGCTAAACTTGTAAATACAGCAGAAACTGAAAACTTGGAACGGTGCGGATTTATTAGGATCAATAAGGAATCGGTGGTTCCATACACAGTATACAATGAACAGAAGTATGTACCTTTATTTTATTTTGAGGGCGAGACAGACAATCTAAAGCAACGTGCTGATAAGTTAGAAGGTTGGGACTTGTCATACTTAAAGTTTTGTTGTAAAGTTCAAGGAATTAGAAATGAATTGTTTGCACATGACTCCTGTTCAGTGATTAGTTTAAATGATATCAAGAATTACTTTCCTCCTGGCACAATGTTTGAAGACTATTGGCCAAAAAAAAACTTAGACTCCCAATTGTTAATTAGTAGAAATTCAAATCAGCAACAAATTGTACAGTGGACCAGACAGCCCATTGCGCCCCCAATTTCAGCACATCCTCCACCTTCACCCAAACCAGCTACTCAGGCTAAAGCAGCCAACAACAGTCACATGCATAATGTACATGTGTACCCAAACTATGGAATGGCAGGAGGACAGCCGACGTACCACACCACTCAACCTAGAGCAGCCAGTAGTGCAGTTAGGGCTACCTACCCTTCCGCTGCCAACAGAATGAGACCATATTTTCCTAGTATGGGACAAGCACCTCCACCTTTAGTTAGAGCCAATTCTACATCAACGTAAGCATACTTTTTTATTTACAATTTGAACATTACACTCTACTGACCAAACTTTTTAAAATTGATAATGGGTACCTTTTGATCCCATTCTATAATTTTTTATATTCCTATTAAAAAGGAAGCGATTTAAGTTCCACATTAAGCATTTTTCATTTTGTAAATAAAATGTCCTTATTGCAATTGGAAGAACCATGTGCAGCTTTAATCCTCTAACTAAAGTTGAACCTACATATTATAGGCATTTTGTAATTTATGCAATTTATGTAAAATCTTGAAATATATTATTTTTTGTCTGTCAATATACAGGATGTCCCCATATGGACTCGAAGAGGGGAAAACATTTTTATTTTCAATTTTTAGAGAAAATTGTATTCTTCATGAAAGTTTTTGCTTGTTTCAAAACTAATAATAATTCAAACAGAAGTTGCTTTAGTAAAATGATGACAACAAATTTTTTTTTTTACATTTTTGTGATTATTTCACTAAAACAAAGAGATATTCAACTTCTGTTTGGATTATCACCGGCACACAAAAAAAAAGTTGTCAGTACTTTTGACGGGACCGGTATATTTATGTATTTCGACCCGCCGAATCCGAATCTGAGGTCCGTTTGACCCATACACCGTCAAATTTTCGAAAAAACTTTAAAAACTGCCGATTTTCGTAATTTTTTTCGGTTTTTCAAAGTTTTCTCGAAAATTTGAGGGTGTACGGGTCAAACGGACCTCAAATTCGGATTCAGTGGGTAGAAATACATACAGATATACCGGTCCCGTCAAAAGTACTGACAACTTTTTTTTTATGTGCCGGTGTTATTATTAGTTTTGAAACAACCAAAAACTAATGAAAAATACCTTTTTTTAGAAAAAGGGAAAAATAGTTTTTTCTCTTTTTCAGTCCATCCAGGGACCCCTGTATAATCTATGTAATGACTGTATCTGAATTTAATTACTTGATGTAGGTATATTTTTAATAGTAATTATAAATCTTTTGGGATATTAGGAATTGATAAAGACCTAAAATGTTTTCAGCATGCACACTTTTTGATTTAGGTCCCATACAGTTGCAATAATTGCAGTACTTTTTTTGATAAAAAATATTCTCAAAAATATCTTGGCCTTAAAATAAGAGACAGAAAAATATCAGTCATTAGCCTATTGTATTGTGAATTTGGTTAATTAAGTATAATCTTAGCCCTGTAAAATAGGTATGCAATGGGTGTCCGGGGATATCTAACTTAATAAATTCTATTATTATTATTATTATTAAAAATGTATTTTAAATCATTGATTTGCTGAACCCTCTACAACAATGTACTTGTACTATCATGTGAATCAAATGTATTAAATGATTTTCAAGATATAATACATTCAAAATATTAAGTATAATTGGCATGTCTTGTTGAAAATTTGTAAAAGTAGCTATTTTTTTTTTTCAATTTAATTGTAACTGAAAAGTTAAGCTAAAACTCCACTGCATTTAGGCTTCAGTGGGTCCATTGTGCATCCTCAGGTGTTTCTTAGCTCATAAACCATCCTATTAAAATAGGCCAATATCTTATGGATGTAAATGTTCACATATTTTCTGATTTGTTAACCTTAAAAAATGTATTATCATTTCTATATTTTCTTACTTATATCGTTTATAAAATATTAGACACAAAATTAGTGGGTATCTCAGCTTCAAAGCTTAAATATTTTAATAAAATAATTAAGTAATATTGTCTTACTTTTTTTATATTTATTTTATTTCACAATTTTTTTAGTGATGAAGGATATACCTTGACAATTGTTTATGAAATTGAAACCTATCCCTAGAAATTCAAACAATCCACATTTGTTTATCCTCTCCTAGTTCCATGGTCTACCTGCTCCAGTAACCAAGACACTTCCTTTTACCTATCTCCTTAAGAAGATTGCATGTTTAAAGTAACAGAAATGGAATTGATACATTTTGGACTTTTGTTCAAGTCAAAACAACCATTTCAGATCGATAAAATTATTTTAAAAGGTGTTAAACATTATATCATTTTAGAAATGCAAATTTTATTCTCATTCCTATATTTTTATTAAATGGACAATATGGACATATTTTAATTCATATTCTACATTCGTAAGAAAACTATTTTTAATATTTTTTTCTAATGAAGTTCTTAACAAATACCTAGTCATATCTATTCAAAAATAGTTCCATTGCACATTTTAATAAAGTTGGAAATTTGACACATCTGTATATATTTATTATTTTAATAAAAATATGCAGATTCTGTGCCAATATTGTCCATTAGTGGTAGATAATTTAAGCTTTTCTCTTTCCCTTCTTAAATAAAAAATAAGTTTAAAGATTCCTTAAATAATTTAAGGTCCAGTAAACCCTTTTGTTTTTGATGATTATTGGCAACAGTTTAGGTCTTTTTAAGTTTGAATGCAAAATCAGGACCAGGCTAGTATTTTTTTCATATAACAGCAGTTTTAAATATGATTATTTTTTTAATTAATTCACAACAAAGAAAACTTAAATTAGTTCACTATTGTTTAAACTTTCAAGAATTTATTAATGTTTAATTGTTTTCAAGAAAAATTTAATATTCACGCCACTGTCTAAAATTAATTAAATAGCTTATAGTGAGTCCATTAAAATACAATGTATATAAAGTGAATTATAAATTTTTATCTAATTTTTAGACAGTGGCGCACATGTTGAGTTTTTCCAATAACAATAAATCATTAGTGTTCTTGGAACTGTAGTTTAAATTCTTTCTAAATACTTCCTAGAGTGAGTGCTCGATTATTCTTAACCATCAATATTTTTATTATATTTGTAGATGAGACTGTTATAAAAAAATACATTGATAGTACGCACCTGTAAGTAAAAAACCTTTACTTATAAGATTTGCCTTTTTTTTTGCAAAACTGAACTAAAAAATCCATTTGATATGACCTTAAAAGTCTGTTTGGTATTATATGGATCTGCTGATTTTCAGTAGCTCGGTGTTGTTGCACATTGCAGACCTTATTTGGAATACTGAGGTACCTAGGTGTTTGCCTATTGTATAGCTAAGGCTGGTATTTGGGTTTTTGGAAAATATTCCTGCCCCAGTGCAGTTTTAGACCCATCTGTAACTATACCAAGTGCTCCATCTTCATGTCTAGCACTTCCCCTGTCATTAACGCCTATGACCTGCACTAGGGTAAGTATGAACTATACTTTTGATTTAATGAGCCATTATTGTGATATATTTCAACCAGTTTATGATTTAACAAAACATTTAAATGTGTACTTAATTGCACATTAATATATCATAATTTGTTGTTATAATGAAATAATAGAAAATAATAATAATTATTATTAGTTTGGTCCTGATTTTAAACTTAGGAGACCAAAATCACCCTATAATTTGTGGTATACTCATGTAGGTACTATTTAGTAATTTGCAAAAATTTCTGATTTTTACAGAATGCCAGGCTATTAAGTTTTTAAAACATTTAAATATTCTTCTAGGTTTACTTGTTAGAATTTTTTTTCTTCAAAACCAAAAACAGAAGTATTGACTGAAATACCAATCTTTTTTCACCTTTCACTTACCAATTAATTGTATAACCATCATTAACATTTTTATTGAGTTAAAATGTGTTTATTTATTATGTTCAGTTATGTTCTAATAAAAATGTTTGAAACTTAACGTTATATTGATTCATAAAAAAAATCAACACAAAAATGCAAGTCTCAAAACCAAAATGATAAAATCCCATTTTCTTCCCAATTCAGTTATTTTCTAATCCTGTATTCATGGAACATTGTTTTTTACTTAACTTTACCAATTCAAATTAATTACATAAACTACAAAAAAAGCCAATGAATTGAACAGTTTGATAAACTGAACCAAGCGTACAACCTATTTTGAAAATGAAAATAGACCTTTGTCTTAATAAAATGAACTAGGACTTTATATTCCTCAAGTTGGGCATGTGTATTAATTAGAGATGCAACAGATATTCGCTGAATTATGACTAGATTTATTTATACAAAGTAAAAAAGAATTTGGATATATTCTTCACAATATTAAAAAAATAAAATAACAGCACATATCCCATAAAAAAAAAACATAATAACAAATAACAGTTGAAAGTAATATAAGTTTAAAGAGTTATAATCTAATATCATCCTCCTTGACGTGATAGTATGTAGATTTAGAGTGTGATGTAAGAAAATTAATATTTCCCCCCTCCCCCCCCCCTATCAGGATGTAAGCAGTTTCACTTGGTTTCAAATACATTGCCAGCTTCAGAAAAAACTTATTCACTGTAGATACTGGCTGGTATACATAAATAGTCCTCTCCCATTTAAAATAAATTATTTCATTCTGAATTAATGCTATATTTGAAATTGAATCCATGTTGGTTTCTTTACCCATGTGACTTGTGTACTTGTCTTTTTTTTTTTTTTTTTTTTTTTTTTTTTTAATTTGAGAATTTTCTTGTGCTTGCCGTTGTGTAGTGTGCTTGTTACTTGTATTAAAAATCAGTGTTTGTTTTATTTTTCTGTTAAATCATTGTCAAAAGTAGCATTTTTATATCACCAAATAGAAAATTTTATTGGTTTAATAGTTCTTCTTTTATCGTTCCAACACCATAGACCTTCTGCTGTGACAAGTGTTTGTGAAGCACTAAAACATTTGGAATTACTTCTGAAATCACGTAATTTCTTCAAACTGTTTTAATAAAGTTAGAAAATTATCAGTAAGTGATCACTTATTTATGCTTAAATTTTGGATATTGATATTACTACTATTTTCATTTAGTTAAACAGAAACTACTTGTTTGAGCTCAACTATAACTTCGAACATATAATATGTCTATTTCCAACAAGTGGGGACATCCTGTACTAATTTTTTTTGTTCTTTGAACATTTATTTCTGCCTGAATCGTTTTCAGTTTATCACAAGTCAATGCAGAATGATTAAAATGGGCAACAATCTCTTTGACTGAGCAATTGCATTG